AGCGTCAGCAGAAGGCGATGTGTGGTTTATGCATCAGCTCCTCCAGTTCAGAGCTTCACGTGCCAGTGCAGGCTGCTGGTGGAGGTGCTTTGGCTTCGTGTGCCAGGCCAGGAGCCAGAGCAGCACCTCTGGACTTGCAAGGTAAGTGCTGTCAGCTCTGCCACTGACAAATTCCATCATTATCTTAGTCATTTTGCCACAGTATTGGCTGTATTTTAAGCTGCAGGGAAGTTATACATGGGGTCTTTTTCTTCTTTTTGTAGTGCTACAGCAGCTGGATTTGCATCAGGAAATACACCCTCATAGTCTGATACTGCACTGCAATTTTTTTTTATTTTGAATAAAGCTTTAAGGGCCACATGCCTATAACAAAACACAGGCTACAGGATATAAATGTTTTGAACCTCCAGAGAATGAAAAAAACAAGACTGCCAAGGGAATGAGGTCTCTCATTCATTACAGCAAGGTGAGACACTGAAAGCTAAAGAAGACAAGTTACATGTCACCTCAGACTACATCAACATGCAAATGGTTTTCACTTACAGGTTTTTCCTAATGAGGAAGCTACTGTGGGACCAGTGAGAACATGTTTTTTAGTTTCTGTCTGCCTCTTCCTAGGGGCCCAAGGCCACTGGGATGCTTAGCCAGGTGCCAAAGCCTCCAGCTTCCCCTGAAAACATTTCTGAGGGATGGAAATAAAATTTAATAACATATGACAGACAAAGCCATTTTTCCAGTTGCCAAGTCATCTGCTTAGAGACCAGCAAATTCTGGATGGGAAGATGTACTTGGTTAGAGTCACAGTTATGGGCAGTGACCTACTAATACTATGTCTTGAGGAACGATGAGAGGAATGGGGCAGAATTTTTACTCCCTGTTTACACCATTGACTCTAAATCTGGCTCCTTTCTCCAGGCTAGTGACACACCAGAGGTTTTCAAGAATTCTTGGTGAATGATGCTCATGGAAGAGGAAAGCATTTGATGTTCCTTCTTGGTTCATGGGTGGAGTTGTCTCCCTGACTGCCTTTTTAAGCCCCTGCACATGTATTAGCATCCTGTGAGTGGTTTCTAGTTGTTTCCTGGGCCATAATATCTCTGTTGGCTTGCACTGACAGAGCTCTGGCCATGGGCTAGATTTTCATCTGAATTCTCTCAGGATGTCACCAGAAGGCCCTGGGCTCATTCATCAGTCTGTCTATATGCTTCATTGACTAGTTTTTCATACCTTGATCCCTCCCGACCCCAGTGACTCAGATGTGTTCTATTATCCATGCTGTCATTAGGGTATTTAGGTTTTAAAAAATGACTGCAGGTGTGATTAGTGTCACAATCCCTTCTGCTGGCACCTAAAAAGTCTGTTGGCATGACCCATGACTGCTGCCAGCAGGGTTGGTGTGCCAGCCGTGGCCCCGCTGACCACTTTGCTCCCACCCATACCATCCCTGAGGCATCAGGAAGAGCAGCAGTCCTGGTGTCCACAGCCTCACCACATCTGTCCATCTCTTCCTTCTCTGTCTCTCTTTTAGCAGCAGTAACCCAGACAGCATGTTTTGGACACATATCTGAGGAAGCTTTTGTCTGCTTCAGCTCCTCTTGTCAGCACTCTTGGAGACAACATTTAGATGACCTTTTCCCATCTGTGCCTCATTTGTTCCTTTTCACTGCTGTAATAGGATGGAGGCATGTGAAGAAGGGTTGGACCTATGGCAAAATACCACCCCGGCTCACTGAAGGTTACATCTACAGTTTGTGCTACTCCTGGACCTTGCTCAGGCATTTCATGGGAAAATGCTCATTGGTCAGGGACAGGATGATGTCAGGGAGTTGCTAATAGTCAAACAGGCTGGACAACAAACCCCGCTCTTGGCTTTGCAGCCCAGTGGCTCCAGTTTTCCACTGCCACCAGTGAGCCTGGGCACTGCAGATCTGAGTTTGCACCACAGTCCTTCCCTTCGCATGCTGTCTGTCCAGACTGCCCCCCATGCCAAGAGCTGATGGCTCAAGCCCCATTGCCTTGCATATAATGCTTCACCACTGAGGCCAAGGGTAGGATCCACCCTCCAACATGATGGCGTGCGAGCTGGAGGGTTGTTGTTGAGTTATGCTCTCTCTGGATAATACAGCAGGATGGCCAGCATCCTCCCCTGGCCCCTCAATAAAAGTACAATCAGTGCAAACCCTCAGCAGCTTCATTTTTTTTTTTTTTTTTTGCTTTTATCATTTCCACTGCACTGTCATCGATGCCATGCTTGCCGGCATTGTCTGACTGCACTGTGGAGCAGCCAGATTATTGCAGCTACTCCTAAACCCATTTACAAGGTGCCGAGACCCCATTCTCTTTTCCTTCTTTTCCTTGTGCACATTCAGACGCTTCCTTCCCACTACAGGAATAAACATTTTCCCCATTTATGCCCCAAAGCAGAAATTATCTGTTTCAATTTTGCTGCCAAAATATTCCCTATGCAATAGAAAAATACCCAGAAATGTTGCACCAGCAGGACAGGGCACTATCTGTCAGCAGTCTTGGGGTCCTGAACAGTCTTCCTGAAGGTCTTGTGTTTAGCAGAGGTGTGTTGAGCTGAGGATAAGGAAGCACTGGTGATCTCCTATCCAGCCTGGCCTGGAGGGGTGTAGGAGCTCGGTGCAGGGCACTGAGCTGATGCCGTGCCCCATCTTTGCTTCCCTTGCCTTGTTTTGGGGTGTGTTTAACCCTGCAAATGGGCCTTATCCCCCCAGCTCTGCTCTGTGCCTGCCTAGAAATCAGAGGATCAAGAAGACAGCTGGAAAAGGATGCTTTTTTTTAAGAGTAGATATCACACCATGCTAGAGCACACTGTGCGTAAGATCTCAGTTTCACAGAGCAGATATTCAAAGCCTTCAGTGGGACTGAAGGATATATTTAATTTTGTGTGCTGTGGGAAGCATTGTGTCTGCCTGAGCAGTCAGGGAGCCCTGGCCCAGATATTTCTGCCTTTCTACTCCCTCAGCCTTCAAGAAACCTCTAAAACCCTATGCCATTTTTCATAGCCCCTCAACCCCCATCTCATCACATCCCCCCAGCGCAGTGGAGAGTCTCAGGCACTTAATTATTGCCAGAATCTCAAAAAATTGTGCAAGATGCTGATCTATTGAATGAAATTCTGCAGATAGCTTGTTTGATTCCCTCCTTTCCTATGGATGCTGCTTGCCATGCCCCCGGTGTTTCTCTTACATGTCCTCTATATTGTTCATTTCGGGTGAACTTGTAGGGTTTTGGAGAAGGCAAGGACATGGGGCAGACACCTGTCTGCAGCATCTTCTCCTGAAAACAGGGAGAGACATTTTGCTCACGGAGACATTTTTGCTTCACAAGGGAAAAACAGACCTTTTCGTCAAGATTTTGGTTCCTCACACTGAGAGTCGAAACCCTCCTTGATTCGGGCATTCAATCCCGGTTTGTATCAAAGCCTGAGGCAGGTCAGGGGCTGGTGAGACCCTGGCAGATCTGGTGTCACAGCGAGGTATCGCTGCCCCATGCAGATTCTTGTCTTTAGATCCGGCCATGCAATTTTGACCTGTTCTACAACCCACCGCGCACACCCCTTCAGACATGCTGGTCCCCAGATGAAGGAGAAAAGGGATGTAAGGAATCAAAGTGATGCTGTTGATATTTCAGTAGGCTCCCCTGCCCCAGGCTTAGGTCCTGAAGTTAGGCAGCAATGCTCAGGGCGAGGAAATAATTTAATTCTTCAGGAAAACATGCTATGATTTAGCCATTTCATGAACCTGCGTAGCTTTTAAATGCTTCCTGAGCAAGGACTTCTCATTGTATTCTGTCTTTTTCTACTGGTACTGCACATTTTCATTCTCAAAGTCCACAGTAATAAGTGGATTATTTAAAAAAAAATCATCTTTTCCCTTCTGATTTCTAAATATTCCCAGACATGGCAGTCCATTTCCAAGTTCACTCCCACCTACTTCTTGCCATCTCCATGGTGGCACTGAAAGGATCTAATTCAGTAATTAAAAAAAAAAATACTTTTCTGGAAAGGCGAAAATAACCCAAGAATCTAAGTAGTACCAAATTCCAACATCTCCCTCTTTGCCCTACAGATCATTAGGCTTACAGCCCCTACCTGGAACATACAGAAACTTAATGAGATATATTCCAATGAGAAATCCTACATGATAAAGAGAGAAATTAACTGAAATATTCTGTTATGCAACTCGCTGTCTGCTGTGTTTAAATGACCTGAAGTATTTTATTCTGTATTTTTTGTTCTAAAGTGTTTCCATTAACATTTTGTAAATATATTTATTTATATACTGTTTATTTTTAAAATAAGTAACTCAGGTTACTTATCAGCCACATTATAAGATATAACCGATTCTTTTAAAAATTATTTTCATTGTTGGTACAAGGAAATAAGTGACATTTCCATAATTAAAAAGAACAAAATTTGTCTTTGAGGAATTTTGCTAGTGAATATTTTCTCAGGTGCCATTTGCGTTCTCAGCTTGTTTGCTGGACTAAATTCACATGACAGAATACAACAAAAGAACAGAAAGAAGTCCAAAAACTGCAGCAGCCAAAAAGAAAATAGAATTAAATTTTTTTTAAAGGTTCAATCACAGTTTAATGGAAAGGAAGAAAATACTTGCTACGCAGTCATGCAACAGACAAAATTCCTATTGCACAAGAAAATAAAAATGTGTCCTTTTACATCCAAAACAAATGCATATTGCTACAGTGACGAAAATGGAGAAATTAAGATTGGTGGGGAAGACTCCATTTGCGCAAAGGGGAACCTAGATATTGTCCTTTAAAAATAACCCCTAAACTTTTCATTAATTACTGGTGAAATCTGAAGAAATTATGCTTAGAATCAAACATGCAGTTGTGGCCAGCTCAGCGGGGTGAAAAGGAAGGAACACGCATACACACAAATCCCATAGCTAATAATTAAATAATTCATTAATCAATCATAGAAAGAGGGAAGGGGGGGGAAGAAATCTTACCACCAAATTGGGTAACCAGCTAAGACCTTTGTGCCATTGAAGAGAAAAGATAAAATTAGTCCAAGCAGGTGGTAATCCATTAGTCCAGGCTGGTGCAAGGGGAAAATCTCAGTGAAGTTTTCAGAAAAACATGAAGTGCGAAAATGAAGAATCTCCTTCCCTCCAGGAAAAAAAAAAAAAAAAAAAAAAAAAAAAAAAAGGAGTTAAACAAAGTCCCTTGTAGTGCGGATGACTTTCTGGCTTGTCAGAAACACACCTCTCCAAGCCTTTTCCCTGTAGATCATCCAAAAGCGTCTATTAAAAAGTGCAGGGCTTGGGGATGTCAGCAGGCAGCCAATCAGACCGCATGGCCCAAGGTAAGGGATGAGTCTCAGCTCAGGGCTGTCAATCACGCTCTCCTCCTCCTCCACCCCACAACTTTGTTCCTAGCCCTCACTTCCACAGACAAACCCTCTTTGCAAGAGACTTTACTGGGGCAGTGAGATTTTTGGTATTGTGTTTTTTTTGTTTGTGGTTTTTTTTTTTTTTAATTTTTGTTGTTGTTGTTTTTTTTTTTTTTTTTTTTTTCCCTAATTTTATTTTTTATTTTTTGTTTTTTATTTCACTTAGAAACCCAGGATGCACAGACCCTGCTTCTGGCTTGGTGTGCCAAGACTTTGTAAGGTAAGGGTGAAGGGTGACTGTGATTGCGCTTAATCTCACGGTGGGGGCGAGATAGACAGTTTATTCTTTAGATGGGGAGGGAGGTGAACATTAACCCTTGCAGGAGGCAAAGCTAGTGGGAGCACCAAAGGGGCAGAATAACTCTCTGAAAGTGTTGATGTGAGCCATATGGGCAACACTGGTTACAAACTTTAAATGAAATCTGCGCTGCTCAAGTTTTCAAAGTGTGTGGGTGGGATGGATGGAGGGGGGAAACATTGACAACCTGGTTTTCTATTGAGAAAAAATGCCATGTCATGGCAAGAGTGGAGCAGGCAGGCGGGAAGATGTCTCATTAATGAACTTCTTGTGAAGTGCATCTCTGGATGCAGAAAGATGAAAATATTATCAAAAAAACACATGCTTAAAAAATTTTAAAAAAGAGGAAAATCACAAGCAGTATCACTTCTCTTAAGAGGCTGCATGTTGCAAATAGACCCAACAAAGACTTTTCTTGAAAATCCATTTTTTGCCTAGAGACACTGTTTTTACAGGAGCTATTGTGTCAGCATAGCAGATCCAGCGGATGACTCAACAGAATGGGACAAAGAAATGGAAGAAGTCAAAAAAAGTGGCTTTTCTCATAAAGCATCCTCAACAACCAGACCTCTACTGCCTGCAGTGGAACTGCCCATTTTATAATGTCCTGGAGAGTACGTGCTTTAAGAGTAGCCATCAAATCAATTTATTGCAGAGCAATGGCTATAACAGAGCTCCGCGGTCCTATCTTGGGCAGCCCAATGCATCTTGAGGTTTTGAAAATTATAGATATTAAGGCTCTGGGTACAAATGCATTCCTTGTTGCTAATTAATTACCGAGATGCACCTGCCTCACGTCTCTGTCTTTCCTGATTCCCAGTTCTTGTAGATTTCAGTGTATTTGGACACGGAGTTAGTGCAGAGCTCTTCTCATAAGTGGGAGTTGGTTTCCTGGCCATCTTAGATCTAAGAGAGGATTTTTGCTCTGCACTTTACCTCTTCATCAGTCCATGCATCTACTGCAAGCACTATGAGGCCAGGCTTCTCCAGGCTTATTCCAACAGGTTTTTCCATCTGTCTATGACCCATCATAGATATTAAGCATGTCTTGTTCTTCTTCTGGGACTTCAGATCCCAGAAGGTATATTGGGTGTAGAGTATCCTGGAAAATCTCTTACCTGGCACCCAGCTATGTTTTATTGAACACAATCACTTGGGTTTAAGAAAGCAATGATTTTCAAATGAACATTTGGTGACACACATATTTAATGTTTCACTAAATTCATCACTGCCTGGAATCTTGCCCAGATCTTGAAATCTATTGTCCATATTTTTAGCTATGAAGCATGGACCCTGGCATGGTCCTGACCTGGCCCACTTGCACAGTCCTGAAGAAATTTTAGTCACAGTTGGGGTTATTGTAGAACAGGAATTATTCCAAATGGACCTGTATGATGCGACCCACATCTTCTGAAGGTTAAGGGAGTTTAGCAGGATGGATGAAGTGGTCCTGTGTCCCTGTCTCTCTGGTTCTGGTGCCAGGGAATGGTCACAGGCACTTTTAAATTACTGGTTAAAGTAGGCCATGGAATATGTGAATTTCCACTAAAGAGCCTGTATGTCTATCTATCAAAAGCAGACCTTAAATCACTACACAGATTTGTACCTCCATTGGTGGATACTTTGGAGCCACACAAATAGAATAAGGATTAAAACTATGGAGCGAGATAATTTCTGTCATTAAAATGTCAAACTGTTAAAGAGGCAGCAAAAGCAGAGACTGAAGTGAGATATCTCAGGTGATACTACATGTGACTGACATTCCATGGAGCACAATAAAAAATCCCCAACAAGCAGAAATCCAGCTGGGGAAAGCTTTTGAAATCTGAACTGGATGATTGGTTGGAAACCATCATCGAGGTCTTGATGGCTGGGACATTCCCGTCTATCAGACTTTGAGGAACAATACAAAGTGTGCCTTATCCATTAATTGGTGTTGGGGTTTATAAATCAAGCCAGTAACAAGCTACAGAGTGCTTCCTCTGCAGACAAAGAAGTGGGAGTAAGTGACCTAAAACCCAGAGCCCAGAGCCTATTTGCTGTTGTGCACTGGACAGAGATCTCAGTGCTGCCTTGGGAAAGGCTGCATTAAAAGAGCTGTGGAGATGTTAAAACACCCACCTACACCCCAGTAACTGCCCAACATCATATTGATGAGGCTACAGACAGGTTTTGAAAGATGCACAGCATGTTGGTGAACATTTGATGCTAAGCTCACTGAAATCAAATGAAAGCTCTCCACAGACCCTGACAGATACCTGATGAAGTTTCTTGAGCTGCTTGTCCTCCCACACCTTTTACCTTCTCCCATCCGTTGCTCTCAGTCCACGCTGAACATCATGGACTGTTGGTCTGATCATCATAAGGATTTTATGTTGTTCTACCTTCTGGGAAGAGACTGTTTTGAGTGTGTCTGTAGTTGCTTTGGCTTGGAGATCTTGTGAGATCCTGCAAGTAGGTCTTTATTGCCTCTAACCCTGTTCACATGTGATTCATAGTGACTCCTGGGTCCAAGTTTGTCCCACAGAAACGAGTAGAAAAATGAGTAGAAAAACAATGGCAGGTTTCAGCTGTGTCTTTGGTTGTATCAGCCTAGATCCCCAAATCCTTAAAAATGTCAGACATGTCTCACCAAGGAGTTTGACCTGTCTCACAGGAATGAAGACTATGTTGTCTGTGAAATGAACAGACTTACTTTCAGTCTTCTCTACTACGAAATGAAAATCTGGTGCGTACATGCTAAAATTATCCTAGGGATATTTCATGCTATCCTGAACAAATATTTGTAAGTTCTATGGCAAACATTAATTTTAAATGTAATTTCTAAGAGCAAATGACAGTTATCCAAAAGAGTACAATTTCAAAATTTCACTCATAGATACCTCCTTGTGCTGCTGACTGACAGTTTTATTTACTGAGGGTCTTTTCAATCACATCAGTCTGTCTAGTTTGGCAATATTGACTCTTATAGACCAGTTTCAATATGCCCAGAAACAAAAAAAAATTGAGGAAGCTAGAGGTTTGGCTGCTCAAGAAAAGTCCCGTTGCCTTTATAATGTTAGTATAAAGGTCCTTCTGTATTGTGCTAACATTGTGGTACTGCAAACTCAACCACTATATGTGCCAAGGCATCAGAAGGGATCTTTTGGTTTATTCTAACAGCACTGCAGCAAAGGATCATTGTAATCACATTGAAAACATGCCTCTTCCTCCCCTCAGTGCTCTAACTTTTGTAACTTTTCCTTCTTTTAGCTTTTCCTCCTTTCTCCGTCAGAATCTACCAGCAGGAAGAAACCAAGTGCCTGGAGAAGGTGATGGGACCATGGAGCCTCCTGGATTTGTTCTCAGCATGCATTTCAACATACTGAGCCACTGATGAGTGTGAGACACCAAGAACTCAAACTCTTCCTGGTGTGGTTCAGCTGCCCTTGGTGGAATTACCCCATGGTCAGTGTGACGTGAAGAGGATGACTCAAACTTCACAGAGAAGGGCAAGAGATGGATGACCTGGGATGACCTGGCAGAGGGGGTTTAGACACCTGGTTTGGTGTGCTGTGGGAAGCAGGGAATGTACAAGACCCATGATCCATGATGCATCAGAGTGCTTGATTTGCAGGCTGACTCTGGTTCAGTGGTGGAGGGTGGCTTAGCTGGCTGCCAGACATTGAATTGTACATTTGGGCACTTCTGGACATGGCCAGAAACAGAAACTGAGAAGGTGGGTCACTTGGGACAATGGTCTTTGGGGTTTCAAGTCTTAGAAGCAGATGAGTTTGTTGTTTTGAAGACCTAAATTTTGGTCTTAGTAGCAAAAATGGAGGTAAAATAGCAAATTAGTTCTTTGATGGCTCTAGCCATCAGTCCTAAAGTAAATAATTATTTAAAAGTATGTAAAGAGCTGAAGAAACCCTTCCTCAAAGCGTGAATGAGCTGTCTGAGTCTCTTTCATCTTAGGCTACTGAAATCCTATGTGTTTCTGAGGGCTGTGTTTGCTGCTGACTTGTGACTGTCAACATGAACATTTCTCTCTAAATTTACCTGTTCCTCAATTTTCTTGGCCAAATCTCCTCTCTCCTAGATCCTAATGTTCCCCCTGGCTCTATCTGACTGTCCTCCTCTGCTGTTTCTGGTTTTTCATATCCCAGTTCATGTTATCTGGACACACTAAGGCAGTCATTACCTGGAAACAACAATCCAATCCTGTACTGACACACGAGCAGAGTGATTTAAAGAAGGGCCTCAATGGATATTACATAATTTTTGAACTTTGAACAAGAACAGCTTTGTACATTTTCATGTATCTTCTCAACATGCTCCAACACCAGTAACCCGGGGGGGGGAAACGCGCCAGCATGTTGGCATTGCATGGACACCAACCTGGCACACCCCTCACTCCTGTTAGGTGCCTCATCTGCATGTTTAGTCCAGCAAAGCTTTAATGCTCCCTCCCAGTAAGCTCATAGCTTATGCGGGGTGGCAGGGAGGCTGCCTGTCCTGTCCAGTGGAGCTCTGCAGGTGT